GTAGCTATATTTACGTTCGACTATCTAAATAACGTTAATCTCCGATATAGCTCTTAATATCTCTTCCTACTTTAGTATTACTTCCTCGTTCTTAGAATATCGTAGGTTAAGGGATATAAGCTTTAGCTTTCCGGCTAGGTAGTAGTATGTTATCCTACGTACCTACTCTAAAGATTCCTTACTTTAATATACGTAAAATAAGATATAATAAGCGATCGGTTCTCCTTTACGCTTAGCTTAGGTAATAATCGATCTTAGGATTAGCGTTAACTCTAGCTTATCCGGGTCTTCGTTCTCGAGGTAATATAATCGCTTATTACTCCTATAGTAGAACCGATTCTACGTTATATCTATTAGTAACGGATAGCGGCTATAGTTATAAAGCCGATCGAAAGTATTATAAAACTAACATTCGAATTCCCTATAGTTATTCGTTTAGGTTAATAAAATCCTATTACGTATGCCTCGGTAATTTAATATAGTATTACGTTTAGAACCTATTAAGATCCTCTCGCTAGTTTATAGGTTATAAAGACTTAGGTTCTAAACCGCGTTTACTAGGAACGGGTTTTCCTATTAATATTATTAATCGGCGCCGTACGTATCCCTAGGGCTATAAGACCTATTTTCTTAACGGTAGTTCTACGAAGTTATCTTTATTTCTAAAGCGTTAAGTCGGTCGTAAAAGGCTTATATACTAACTTCTTAACTAGTACTTAGGTAGCCGTAAGAGGGTCTAAGCTACGAAGGAAGCGATAATAAAGGCATTTAAAGGCTAGGAGTCGCTAATCGTTAAACTATTTATATCATAAGCTTCTCGGGTTCTTCGAAAGTTACCGTTTTTTATTATCGTCGTTCTTCGGCTTAAGCCTTATCGGTAATTTATATTACTATACGACGTTCCGCCTACTTATAAAGCTAGGTATAAAGAGTCCGGTAGTCGATATTTCCGATCCTATTATAGTTATAATCTTCCGTTTTATAAAACTTTATAATTAGGGATATCCGGAGTTTATCGGTTAGGTATTCTACTTTTTAGGGAAGCTTTCCGTTATCGTTTACGAGCTTAGAAAGGCGTTTATAGTTTATAAGATACGTAAAGATCGCCTTAGGATCGTTAATTACGTTACCTCGTTCTAGCTATACGAGTTTACGTTTAACTTTAGCTTAGCTTAGTTTATCGGTAATCCTAAAACGGTACTTCAGGGCTATAACGATAACTCTTTAGATCGTTTAATCCTTCGTAACGTCGTTAATACGCTCCCTAATAGTTTTAGTCGTAATTTATTCGCCGATTTCCTTAATCTTATCGTCGTCGTTTATACGGTAGCGGTTAAATAATCGATTTACCCTTTCTAGTTATTAAGTTATATTATATTTATTAAACTTAAGCCTAAGGTAATCGGTAAGGTTAAGAAACCTAATGACTAGCATTACGATAATCGGGGTAACTACCGGTATATTTTAGCTACTAAAGGCCCCGTTATTATTATTCTAAAATAATGCCATAGGAATTAGCGGGATAAGTATAGAGCCGCGGGTAAGGGATAATTAAATAGGAGTTTTATCGTCGTCCTTTTCCTCTTCGGGCGGATATAAAGGCGGAAAGCTAGTATCGACTCTTAAGGTCTTTATTAATAATTTAATCTTTATTACTTCGGGTCCTAACGGCGATTTATTCCGTTTCTTAGCTACGGATTCCGTCTAGTTTATCGGTACGAGGTATAAAGTAAAAAGGAAGGTAATAAGGGTTTTATTATCTAACATAAAAGTAAAGGTATAATAACTATTATTTATATCCTAATACTTTTCCTTTGGTATAGGTATATTATTATTTATTATACTATCCCGATTAATAAGGTCCGGATATTATACGAGCTTTTCTAATTAACTAACGCCTAATTAAAGTACGATACGTATTTCCTAAATTAATAGTTTAATTATTATAAATAAATCGACGATAATCCCTCTTATTAAGGTTTAGAACTCCTAACGTATAACCTTCGTTAAAGTAATACGTATAAAGGATAAATCCCGAGTAAAGAATCGCGTTAAAAACGATACCGGTTATAGCTATAAGCCGGTCTCGATCTAACGGGAGTTATTTAATAATATTAACGGTATTACCGCTAGGCGTCGTTTTACGCCTATATTAATACTTCTCGCTATGCTAGTTATTAATTAGTAATATAAGGCTAGCTTATATATAAGTATACCTATTAGCTCGACTTTAGTTCCGTTTCCTTAATCCTTTATATTTACGTAGTTTTATTAATATTAATTCCTAGTTCTTTTTAAAACTATCGGTTATTAATAGCTATTAGTTTATTAATTCCTATTTATGCTATTAATATAAATATCCATATCATATCGTATACTATATCGTCGAATCGCTACGCCTAGGTATCCTAAAATGCCTCTAGTATAATAAGTTATTAGTATCTATATATTTAGTCTATATCGATTAATAGGTTTAAAGAGAAAAAGAAGCTATCGTAAGGTCGGTTAAGGTATAATTACTATTAGTCTTTATCCGCCCTTAGTATTAATAAAGGAGTAGCGGGTCGTATAAGTTATCGTAATTTATATTAAGGCATTCGTACGTCCTTTATATAGTAAATAAATAACTATAAGGGGGCTACCTTAATCGCTATAAGCTTTATTTATTCGTACGAAATATACTATGCTAGTAGCGGTTTAAGGAAGCGGTTAATATCGAGGGCTAAATATTATCCCTAATAGCGGTAGTATTACGACGAAAGTTCTTCCGGGTTTTACGGATTCTTCCGTATAGTAGATAAATAACCATACGAGGGATGTCCTAATCGGTATAAACGCGGTTTAGTCGTCGTATTATATCGTAGTATCGATAGCTTATTAGCGTTATAGGTATTAAGGGCTAAGCGCTATCCTAGTAGTTATAATATCGTTATAAAAGTTCCCGGGTTTATACGTACCTTCCTATAGTAAATAAATAACCATAAGGCGGGATACTTTATTTAACGTAAAACGCAGGCTGCTTCGCGGGTTAAATAGCGGCGCCGACGGCGATCGGTATCCTTTAAATCCTAATAGCGTAATAAAAACTCCGTAGACTAAAGGTTAAGGAATCGAAAAAGTTATAGGGTAATCGCTATTAAGGAGGAATAAAGCGTACGCGATATTAAAAACCCGGATAGGTTTATTCGTAAGTATACTTTATCGAAGATTATAGTACGTACGATAGTCTAAGATAGATAAAACTAATATCGCTATATTAATCGAAAGGCAAGGAATCTAATGTAGTTATCGTATCTTAGCTATGCCCCTTAGTCGTAAAGATATAATAATCGCTAGCCCGAAGGTATAAGAAATAAGGGGAGAAAAGAAGCAAAACGTAAAAGTTACTTATTCGGTTATAGCGGTACGACGAAGTAACTTAAGCGCTTATAACTAAAATAAATATATAAATCGGAAAACGACGAATCTAATAATAAAAACGAATCTTTAATTAAAGTAAAAATAGCAAAGATAATAATCTAACTAGGTCGTAAACGGAATAATAGGCATAGCATATCCCGCACTTACGGAAGCTATAGTTACTCTATATAGGCATAAGGCCTATCGTAGCGTATCACGTAATGCATCAAGAGGGCATGTCTTACCGCACCACTACACTACTCGTAAACCGCTTTCTTATAGTTTTCTTTAAAGAGTTCGTTTTCTTAAGTAATATACTCCTTAAAAATACCTACTACGACTCGAGTAGCGTTAAACTTAGCTCCATTTAAATTAACGTCCTTCTAAATACCGAACTAAGTAGCTATCGACTTAAGCGTAAGGAATTAACGTAACTACTTATCGTAAGCTCATAGGTAAACGTTAACTAAAATCTTATCCAGGAAGAATTCGGACGTATTAATCGTTATAGTAAATAAATAAGCGACTATTTAATATTAGATACGAGAGCAAAGTACCGATATAGAAATAAGAAGGGAGTATAATCGTAAGATCTAAGAGATAAATAAATATATATTACTTACTTACGCTAAAATAACCTAAGTAATAATAGCTCCTTAGAAGTACCCTAGGCTTATGACTATTACGTAGCTAGCGAGAGCTACGTTTAGGTTAATAAGTTACGCGTAAAGGGAGTAATAAAATACGGGTAAGAAGGTATATATTAACTTACTAGAAAAGAAGGAAAGCTACTAGAGAGTATAAAGCAATCTACGGATACATATAGTAGTACTTAACCAGCTTAGGTAAGCTAGGTGGTTCCCACTAGGGGTGCATGCCTACGGAACAGGATAAAAATAGTAAAGATAGCAATCTAGCTAGATAATAAACTCGATAATAAGTATAGCATGGCCCGTACTTACGAGAGCTATGGTTACTTTATATAGGTATAAGGCCTATCGTAACGTATTACGTAATACATTAAGAGGGCATATCCTACCGCACTACTATACTATATATAGATAATAAGGAGCTACGAGCTATATTATATAAGCGAGCTAAGAGCTATATTAAGTAAGCGAGTAACTAGAGGAGAAGTAGGGAGCCATATACAGGTAGCTCTCTACGTAACATAAGTATAGCACGGTTATCATAGTAACGTAATACGTAATATATTCAGAGGGTATGTCTTACCGTACTACTATAGTATTAACATTACGAAAAAGATAATATGGCTTTTTATTACGATTTTAAAAGCTATTTGCTAAGTAAAAGGGTATAAATTAAAGGAATAAAGCTATACGAGGAGGAAAAGAAAAGAAGGTACGCTTTACTAAAGCCGTGCTTCCAAGAGCTAGCTATATACAGGAGGAACGGTTACGTACCCTGGTGCTATGCTAACCAGAGTTCTCTAACTAGGCGTAGCTTATTATAGCGTCCACGTTAAAAATAACTCCAAATTATTCTATTCGTAGAATAATTCGAGCATTATTTTATTTCTTAGCTCTTTAATGATAGCATTTCCATTTCATTAATCACGCAGGCTTTTAAAATGGTAGAAGTGGCCTCAATATGTTATTTGTCTTAGGTAAGTCGTTAATCCAGAGTTCTGAGAATCCCTTTCACCCGTAAGCTACTGCTCCTCGGCTCTAAATGTGCGCCTTCAGGGCCCGGAAGGCATCCTCTCGGGACCCGACATATCTTGCCTCAGCCGTCTTCCAGTTGATGACCTTCCAGATGTTATCAACATAAGCTGCCTTTCCATTGAGGTACTGGAGGTAATACGCGTGCTCCCACATGTCAACGCCGAAGAGAGGAGTATCGCCGACAACAACAGCCTCTTGATTCGCCAACGTCACGATTCGCAGCTGTCCGGTGACAGCTTCCTTCACGAGCCACTGTATTATTAACAGTCAGCCATCGTCCACCGGGAAGATCTCCAGGATCTGTGGCAGGACCAAGCGACGGGCGCAATTGAGGCACAGAGAGCACTTACACCCCATCCGCTGCCCTGGATGCCCAGCAGAGCTGCGCCGAAAACCTCTTGGAATTTTTCCAAGCTGCCCCAGGTAGATTTGATAGCGCCGATCAGTTTGGGAGCGGCTGCTATGCTGGAATCCGGGGAGGAGGAGGGCGCCAAGTTCTCCCAGAACAGCGAGTGGTTGATGTGACCTCCACCGTTGAAGCGGATGGCAGACAACTGGGCAGCCGAGTCCTGCAGCTTTCCCTGGGCCAAGGCGTTGCTAGACGCCTCAAGGGCCTTGTTGAGATTGGTGACATATGCCTGGTGGTGCTTGGTGTGATGCAGCTCCATAATCTGCTTGGAGATGCTGGGCTCGAGAGCCTGTGTCGAGGACGCCGCAATCAGAACTTCATCCCCCGCTATCTTCCTGGAAAGGAGAGAGACAAGCCATCAGGTCGTTCCGTCCACTTACATCGTACGGGTAGGGAAGGGGAGGCAGGGCGTATATGTTAACGGACATTTTGGCTCAAGTTCTTGAGGAATACTTGGTTAGCACAGTTGACCACGAATGCTGTGTGCATACACGGGAGAACGAGAATCGTACGACTAGGACCTACAGTTGCGACCGGGCAGCTATTTGGGTTGACGCGACCTAAGGAGACAGTGTCGTTAAGGTAGGTGATGGGTTTGATGAGGGACTAGTGGTGATGCTTTGGGGGGAGAGGGAAGAGACGGGAGAGGTTGGGGACAGGATGTAGGAGGAGGTAGGAGAGGCCAGGAGAAGGCGGAAGGGTGTCGATTACAAACCTGACAACCACCTCGCACCCTACGGCAAGACGGCTACTGGGCAAGCATTACGCGTTAGCCATCAAGGTCCTCTTTCTCCGCGTCTACGGGGCAGAGAAGCTAATGCGGTCCTTCACCCCTATTGCACCATTTTCACTCTCGTCAGCTGCCTTGCGCTGTTTTGGGAAGACTCCCTACACGCTATCCTGTAGGTATTCTTTGTTGCCGCATATGTTCGTGTAGGTATAACCTAGGTACCTATCTCCTACCCAGACCTAACCTCAGTACCTAAGAACTACCCCATAGTGCGCACAAAGACGTGCTTAAGAAGGCTGGCTCGCAGGCAGGTAGAGATATCGCGTCAGCACCTGGTGTCCACCTCCGGGAGCCCCGTAGCGCCGGGCCACGCAGCCGGAAGCGGGCCGCGAAACGGCCTCAAAAGACGCAAACTTGCTCACCCTCACGCGAGGGTCAGGTACACATCGACACCATATTACGGTCGAGCGCTGTGCCTGTACCTCTCTACCTCCCTGTATACATTAGCCAACATAGCCGCCTCGTGCTCAGGATCCGATGTGCCTGTAATTGAATGTAGCTTACTCGGTGCAAGGACCTAGGATACCAGGTACCCTCCTCGGAGACCGCACAGGCTAAGTACCCAATGCCGGTAGGTACATCCTGTAGGGTCAGGGGCATGTATCTCGGCACCGAGTACCCATGTTTACATACATCGTAGTAAGTATCTCCTACATCTATATACTCAGCTCTACCCGACGCAGGGGTATCAGCAAGAGCTACCAAAGATCATACCTCTCCTATACGCCACCATTTCTAGTATTGTTTTCAAGGGGTAGACACTTCAGTTGAATCTCACGAATACATCCCCCTTGAAAACAGATACGTGCGATGTGTACCTACCTAGATAAGTAGGTAGCCGACCTAATTGTGCCGTCTACGCGGTTGTATGTGCCCAGGTTGAATCAGCATGAATTGATAGAATCTTAAAACCTTGACGACCATCGAATCAACTTTTCACTCGCCAGTTCCCGGATTCTCACAAGTTCTATGTTTATACACCGAACGCACCCCTCGCTCGCTCATTTTAACACATAGGTTAGTGACCTACCTACGTCGACTTTCTACTAGGGGAAATACCCTCGACTTCGTCCTAGCTCATTAGCGCACGTGTGCTCGACACGGTGAACACCTCCGACAACTTCCTCCGACAACGTCTCGTCCCACGGCTCATCCTCCACGTCGATCGCGTTATTGTCCTAGATCCCGCACCGACATAGCCCTATACCCTCTTGTCGGATCGCTACGTCCGAAGACCATGTGTGGCGACCAATGCCGGCAATCCTGCGGCGGCGCTCTCGCCGTGCTCACCCGTCCTGCAAGAAGATACTGCCCATTGTCGATGGCGATGGCAGGCCGCCTGGCTTTCCACGACAAAGGCAATGGTGGCTCGACGGCCACCCACGTTACGTACACGCCAGGGGAGGATGCCAGGAGTAGCCTGGGTGACATAGACGCATGTGTCGTGATTATTCAGTAAGTAGGCCACTCCGTTTCCTCCCCGGTATAGCCATAGCGGAGGAAACGATCGAGAGAGGATATGTGCTAATAGGTTCACCGAGCAGCGAAACTGGCGACCTGACGACGTCCGCCATCATTAGCCCGGTGTTGTGTCGGTTCAGCCTGGCCCGAGGCCGGTGGATCCTGTCCGAGGACGATAGAGAAAGGTCGATAGAAGTGCCTCTCAGCCACCCGATGAGGATCGAGGTTGGCGGCGAGGGAATCATCGGCCGAAGGGTCACCCTGTGGTCAGAACAGAGCTCCAGTCCCGCTGCGGAAGGGATCATAGGATACAATTGAGCCGGATACGGGTCGTAGCACAATTAGGAGCTCAGCGTGTAGGCACGCCCGAGCGGACATGTTAGTGTCGTGTCGCTCATGCATTGTGCGCATCGCTTCTTGAACCAAGCGGGCGCCTCGGCCCGGCCTAGAAGTGCCACCTCGACCCGAATCTCGGGTGCGTTGGAGGTGATCAGTGGCTTGACGCCAACATTTCTGTTGTTGTTCCTTTACCGGCACGCAATAGGAGGGAAAGATGGCAGTTGAAGTCAGGGCAACGTATAACCTTAGGCTGGATAAAGGACCAGGTATCTCATAGGCCAAGGGATTTACCGAAATAGAGATCACGGATTAGCGCATAGCTTTTTCTAAAGGTACGCATACAAGAATGACTCCCCAGTGCGCGTTTTGGCTAAGTTCGCTCCTGTTGCTTCGCTGTCTCAAGCAATAAGGCATGCAAAACGTTAGAAGCTGAACCTGAACTGTTGATCAATTAGGTAGATGAAATGACTAGGCGTCAAAACAACTGATTCAACAGCTCTAAATACGGTTGCTTTTCGTCAATTAGCTCGCGAACGCCTGTTGCGTTGCGTTTTATGTCCTTGCCTAAATCAGCCAATCATAGGACTCTATTTGTAAGGATCCCTGGGTGTCATACCAGTGATTGTGATAGGTATATTAACAGGGTGTTTCCGGTATCGAGTCCCCAGGTGCTGTCGTTGTGTTGAGTTGTGGAATGTTTCTGGAACAGCTGAACTAGATTCCTTCATCAGCAATCCATCCTCAGGCAGTCCTTGAAGGGCAAATCGACCCATCAGCCCTAACAGCCCCTGTATACCTATCTACATACCCACCAACTTCTGTAAAGGATCAATTCGACCCGTTCGCCAAGCACCCTATCAAGGAACCCGTCACGCTATTTATTTTATATATGTGTATACACTATATCTGCCGGCTGGACCCCAGAACTCAAGATACGAGATTGCTGCTCAGCCCGGAGGGATAAATGAGGGAATACTTCAGTCGGTGATTATGCCGCGATTCAACTCCGTGCTCGACTCCAAGTATGGGTATTTTGCAGGACTTCTAGCGCTTCGCTCTGAAGATATCAGGTTACCTTAGAAAGGGAGGGACGTTCTTCTTTCTACCTGCGTATATGTTACGAGATGACGAATAGGAGGCGCGAAAAGCGAGAAGATGGGCTTCTCAGAGATGCCATCCGGCACCTCATGTCTTGACAAGCCCGGATAGGGCCAGAATCATGTACTTGGCAGAAATAGGCGACGAGAGCGGCCAGACCAATCCACGCCCGTCCCTGTCGAGCTCATATCCGCTTACCCTCGAATCCGCTGTAGCGCTCGCGCCAAGAGGGCCGGCAACAGGAGGAGACCAAATTCCACTCCACACACGTAGAAATGTAGGTAATACCTAATACCTTTCTCAATGTGTGCAAGTTCGTCATCGGCGCCCTCTCTCGTTCCTCCAGCGCGTTATAGTGCCGCATCTACAGACACATGCAGTCAGCGCGCCGGGGGCAGCGTACTTCGAGAGAAGAACACAGCCCCGCGTTAGAATACATCTGGCCTAGTACCAATGCGACTGTTGTCTTCTGTAGCGAGCAGGGGCTGAGCCCCATGCCATGCATCCATTGGGGAGGAGTGAGTATCGACAGCAAGGTCATGTATGCGAGTCTAGCATGTAAGTAAGACTACGAGACCTTTTTTGTCTAGGTATATAGAGACAGACATGCTCACCCATATGTCCTGCACTTGAGGATTTCTACTACTCAATCACCTACCCGTCGGGAATCTTGTATGCGCATGTCTTTTCCGCGACGTCTAGACCCTGCTCCTTGCCGTGAAAGTCCCGAGGAAAGACTCGTTATAATATCGGCCGACGATGTCGTATCAATTGCGCCCAACACAGCAGTGGTCACTGGACGGGGGTTATGGCACGTACGAATATGGCTACGATCAGGAGTGTGGCCACGGTTACGGTCCACAGCAAGGAGACTATAACAACCCGCTACTGTCTCCGCCGATGGTGTCGGTGCCGCCTTCGGCAGCGACGTTTTCACACTATTGTAACACCAGCCTCGCGCGCACGCAGACGTGGGTCGCCGACCAGCCGCCGTTCCCGTCGCCGCCTCCAACAGCGAAGCTGCCCCTCGGCGAATGGGCCAGCCCAAACAGCGATACCACGTTCGACCGCCACATGCTGGGAGGCCGCTCGGCGGCTATCCCGTCACGCCCATCCTCCAAGCGCGACGAGAGAATCTGCGGCGTGGAGCGAACCCCCTTCTTTGTCGTCTTAGCCATCGGGCTGTTCCTGCTGGTCGTCGCCATCGCCGCCGGCCTCGGCGTAGGTTTGGGCACGAGGAGACACTATAGCGGCACTCCTCTGGCGACTCCGTCGAGATAGGATGCGAAGTGTTCCCGAAACAAAGACACATGGTACTCCGTATTTGTTACCGAGACATCACGGTTGTGGCACTTAGGCGTAAGTGTGCCTCGACACAGTCGCGCGGTGTCCGGCATCTCCCGTGTACGGAGCGGCGTAATATGTGCGGGAGAATATCACGCGCCGAGCTGTACTATGGGCGGAAAGGAACAGCGTTTGGGGTGCGCGCCAGCAGCGAATAGGCGACGTCTAGCATCCGGACTCAGCAAGACAAATACAATCTAAGCAGGTGGCGTGTCTCCTGTCGGCAAACCCAACGCCTTCTCGTCAGCTCGTCGTCCTATGCAAACGCGCCGATACCCTCGCCAGGTTTCGCCGGCACAAACACCCACGACCAAGGCTGACAAAAGCCTCGCCGCCGGTCCGCGAAGCAATCATATAGGATACATACCGTGGAACAGCTTTAGTCGCCCAGCAGGCAGTGCGCATGGTGCAGGCGGTATAACAATCAGGCAGACAGCGGCTGCGATCAGGTATAGACTAGAAGTCGATATCCACTACGATTCCTTGAATTACCTTGCGCCACAGCTATTACGACTCCACCCGTGTCGACGTTGGCAGTGACTACGGGGAGGGCCTGGAACGCTGGGTGGAGCAACGAGACTACGCAGAATACTCGGTGATGTCTCGCAGCTTCAAGATCGAAATGATACCCTATGTGTGGCCATGAGGCCAAGGGTCGAGTTTCAAGATTGGGTCACCCATAGGTACGCTTGTATCGGCACCTGTCATGCAAGAAGGGTGCTCGCCAAGTAACAGGTCTTCGAAGAATCGAAGAAGAAAAGATATAGGGGTAAGGGGTTCGGGTTATCATACCTGCGTTTAGGTAGGTCGCCTAGTATTACATGGGATCGAAGGATATGTAGAGATAATAAGGTCATCTGAATCATTAGGACTGCTGGGGCTGTATGCGTAGCACCTATAGAATTTGTCATGCGTGTGCTACGTGGGTGGCACGTCTGCGTATGGGGAGGTGATAATAGCCTTAATAGCATACAACCGTAATACTGGCGGGCCCTTGAGGTAGAGTGGTGTGTGTCCGCGAAGGCCGCGTCCAAGGACTTGGTTCGTGGTAATTATACCTGGCTATGAGGATAATCTCCTTCGGTGGCCAACATCGGCCGTGAACCATGGCACAGTTTACTGATGTACTACCCAGTAGACCGTAACCCGAGCGAGCGGTCAGTGTTTGTATTCACAAATGCAACGTTCAACTGGCACCTCCTCGCCTTCTTCGCCCCCTAAAGTCTCTGTTTATCTACCAGGCACAAATTTCATTATGTAGTGCTACGAAAACCTCAATCCGCTTCGAAGTGCATTTTGTGTAGGCCGACTTTAAGCTCCCCCCCCCCCCCGTGGCTCACGGCGTCCTTCTATTCGATCGCCGGTGGTAACTGACGAGATAGGGTCATGGATGTCGCTTGCGGGAATGGTGCTAGACGTCTGCGTGTCATTCCGGGCCGAATCGTGCCCCCCTCGGGGAAAGCAGACTTCAAGGATGCCGTATCTAAAACATACGGAAAATCCAAGGGGATCGACGAGATTCCAAGACAAACATCAAGCAGTTGCTCTTGCTGTAACGATCGGTGACATCGGAGAGTCCATGCGTCGGCGTCTAGTCCGTACGGGGATCGAGCATGGCACAGATATTAACCCGAAAGCGCTCCAATTTGCCGCAATATTAGACTCTATCTGCTTTGATTGCTGTACGCACCTTCACCGCCTCACGATCTCACCGCCCCTTCCGACCTCTAAGTAGTGTTCGGCGGCACGGAGCTTGTTGGGAGGACGCGGCTAAGGGGAGAGTGATTGGATGGAGAGTCAGCATAGAAGGAAAACTGCGCCTCTTACCAGTACATAGACGGCGAAGTGGCTCTAGTGTGACCAGATTCTTGTTGTTGTTGTCATCATACGTTGCTCTGCTTCTAGGTACCCAAGCTGCCGGGTGGTTCTACGACGGATTGGTCGGTCGGGGCCGGAGACGGGCATTCATCGCTGGCGACGTTGAAGATGAAGGGATGCCAGGGAACAGTTGACTAGATACGAGGCCGGCCAGAAATATTGCCGAAGCTCATTACTGCATCTGTGTTGCAGTGGTGCGATACCCCAACGCACCCTGTTCTGGGCAAAGAATGGTCGCCGTCCTCATAGTAGTCCCCGAGCAACCTCCCCGACACTGGCCGTCCTCCCTGGACATATATGGGGCGGGATTCAAAGGGGAAAAAAAGAGAAGGAATAGGACGCCAATGCTAAACTAATTCCTGTTTTAGACTCGCAATGATAACCCAAAACGTAGATACGTCGGGCCGGTGAGCGCGGGCGCGTAACTATTTCGCCCGTATTAAGTGTTCAATGAATGTACGTACAATGCATTGTAGGCTGGTTACATGTCGGGATACTTCCTGAAAGGGCTATGAGCCTAGCATTCGGCGATGTTCCCAAGCATTGGGTGCTCAGAGAACCTAAATATAAAGGACAATGAGCTTTGCATGATCAGGCACTAGATCGAGGCTTGGGACGCCGCATCGGCGATCTTGGGACTTAGCGCTGGTCGTATTAGGTCAATGCAAGACATATCAACCAAATGCTCCCCTCGTCGATGCAGCGAGGATGCTGGAATCAAGGCAATGTCTTGCTCTAGGATAGCTAGCAGGATGGGCGAGCAGGGAGGGTCACGGATTCTAGTGGACGGGATGAGACTTCGACGGGGCCATCTTAGGTCGCCGATGCGTACCGACCCCCAGGCGTCTCCGCCTCGCCTCCGTCCAGAAGCCCGCCAATGACGGCGGCGTCTGCGGGTAGCTCATTAGCCTGACCATAACACACAAACTTAGAAGTTGACAAGGAATGAGAGACCTTCTGGTCCCGCCGTTCCGGTGCCCAAGCGATCGGGCCTCTTAACGGCCCTTTTGATCGGCCAGGGCAGGCTAGCGTCCACACCATCGTCGCGCGCGCGCCGGTGTTGTGGGATCGTGACCAGAGATGAGAGCTCGCCCGGCCGTAAGGTAGAATAGGGCCCGACAGTATGGCACCCAGCTAACCAGTTGCTTGGTGCGTAGGGCGGTGAGGGAGAGGATGTAGCTAGTGGGGTTCTATTTTGCTTCCGTTCATTCATTCTATGCCCGAGCCAAGATCGCCGTTCCAATGGATCCCCCCCGTTACAGCCACGGCGCGGCGAGGCGACCTGGTGGATCTACCAGGTAAGTAGCGCCGCAGGCCGGCATCTTATTAAGGAGTTGGGATCCCACCACCATAAAAGGGTTTCGCTCCTCGTATATCCTTAACCAGAGACGCCGACTTCTGGTCTGGGTTGTGTAATAGAGGTTGCTGGTCAGCCCTAACATTACCGTCCCCGCTGAGTCGCCAGGCCGATTGTGGTTAGGACGTGGGCATCGGCGATATTAAGCTCGTGCGTGTCTGACCTACCGACAGCTGGGCACCGGGTGGGTGGTGGGTGCTCCCCCTAAACTAGGTTGTGTTGTTGTGTCGGTGTTACTTATACCAACCGCGCGTATCGACACTACATATGAATACCGACTCGTCCCGCTGTCATATAAGTAATGGAACTTATACGCCGACTGCTAACCATACCCGCCCTCTCATCTCGAAGTTGGCGTCGATGGCTGAATCGTGGCCGGGACTATCGGACCAGCACAAACGAGCTGCAACTATGCTACACCGTACGGCACCATAAAGGATCACCAGCGGCAGCCGTCTAACGCGAGTGAGGTCGTCTTCGAACACCTCGCTGCTAGGATTAAACAATTTGCGATAGCACGACAGCAGATAGGTAGGAGAACAAAGGAATGTAAGAGGGGGGTAGAGAGGGACTCATAAGCTTATTTACAGGCAATTCGTCATCGACCAACCAACAAACCAACTAAGCCAGACGTTGTTTTGGTATTCCACCCGCCTGCCGTCCTAAATTCCTCCTCCTCAGCTCAGCCATCGAGGCGTATTCCAACTTGGCCTCATCTAATTACCAGACGTCGCCTACGATTAAACATGCCAGGCACTCCGGCCCACACCCGATCCGAACCCTGAGCCCGAAAGGAGGGAAGGAATGCCGTGAAAACGCTAAGAATCCACCTCATCGATCTCGCTCAAGAATCGTGCCGATAATCGACCCCCCCCCCGGGCCTGCAAGCACCACGGGCATAGGGGCCAAGCCGGCCCAACAGAGACTCAAGGCGCACTGGTGAGCATGGTATTGATTTCGGACATGATGCCCTCGTCGGCCGCCATGCTGCTGATAATCTCTTCCTGTGTGAACCCAACCCAGAACTGAGGGTTCGTCTGTTGGGCCTTCTTAGCCCGGTAGATCTCCTGCGCAACACCTCTGACCTGGCCCGAGGCCGTGTTGGCGGCCTTCCAGACGTTGCTGAGCTTGTTGAGGGCCCCAATGTTCAGCCGGACCTGTTGTCTCAAATCATCCTCGTCGTGGATGAAGTACAAGGCCCACTTGCTCAGGTGAACGATCGAAGATAGCGTCAGGACACAAGTGAAGAAGTGCGTGTGGCTCGTGATCGGTACGTTATACGTCACCATCTTGCTAATCTCGCACGCAGCTTTGATGATGTGCCTCGTGTGTATGTTGAAATTGTCGCCGCTCTGTACGGCTCGGTGCGGCGCGCAGGCCGTCACATCGCGCGCTGGCGACGAGTCTAGCTGCGAAAGGGGCTGATGTAGGATTATCGAGCAGCTGGGGAAGACCCGGTTGTTAGTTTGGTCATTTCGCGATTTGGGGTTTGCGAGGGGCTTACGCGTGGTTGATCATGTGTGCTTGAAACATCATCTCATCCAGCTGGCAGTCTTTGTTCAAACTATCTATCTTGGTCGGCGGCAGATGCATTCTCCAGTTTGATAACAGCGACTCGATTCGGCTAACGTTCTCCTCACTGGGAAAGCCATTATTCGGCAGCCGCATCATGCGTCCGAGGTTTCTGATGGAAGCAACACGATAGGCGAAGGAAGAAAATTCTCTCTCCTCGCCGGAGAATACCTGGTCATCGAAATCTTCCAGATACATCGGGCGCGGAATATTCTACTCGGCAGGTCAGTCGGTTCCGTGCAGTAGGAGCGGGCGCGGGCGGACCCGAGAGGGCGAGAGAAGGGAAGCGACCTACCCCGGACGTGTATTCGTGCTCCTCGCACGGCAAGCCTACGTCCGCCACGATATCGAAAAGCAGAAAGTTGGTCTGCCGGTGCACCCCAGCAACCATACCGTCCACGACGAACAGGTCCCACCACGTGCGGCGCCAGCTCTCCTCTACCCGCGGCACGCCACCCCCGTGAAGGGTGGCGAAGGCCCTCGTATACAGGCCAATCTCTATGGCGATCCGCTCGACGTGGGAGAGAATCTCGCGTGCCTTCTCCTGCTGGCAGCTTCCGTCGAGGCCTATGAGCAGGATGACCATAGCCTGGACCAGATATCCATCCCGGACGACGTCTTGGGCATAGACCAAACGCATGGCCTCCTCGAAATAGGTAGCGCGCGCGGGCCCGACATCTATGTACAGCGATCCGACCCATCTCATGGCGGCGAGCAGGTGGGCGAGATCCTTCTCTTTGGCCATCTTGAGCAGATGCTCCTTTGGCAGAACGGACGGATGGCCGGGGTAGAAATAGTAGTAAAACGAATTGAGGCAGCGCTCGGGGATTGTCTGCTGTGGTTGGGTATCGGGTCCGACTAGAGCTCCGCCGCCGTTCAGGTACTGGCTCCTGTACAGCTGGAGACCATTCACGCCGGAAGCCGTGAAAGGTGTCGCTGGTGACTCAGCCACTACCACAGCCGGATTGAAGGTCGACACGCTCGGCGCCGTAGCCATCGGACGGGTCACGCTTGCGATCAGTGAGCAGGTATCGCCATTAGCCGACGGCGGAGAGTCGGAAGCAGGACGCTTTCCCGGGTTTGGGGGGTTCCGTCGCGGTCCCTTATAACCGCGACGCGAAGCGACGTAGATGCATTCGGTCTCGTGGATCTGACAACGTCCGCACGGAGTATTTCCGTCGCACTTGAGATGTTTCCCCCTCTATATTCATCGTAACGGGGGAGTCTTAGTTAGCACAGGAGCGGGCTCATTCCAGGTACGTGTCCGTCAGGGGGTCGTTCGAGACTCACACAAGCCAGGCAAGCCGCTTGCACGGTGTTCGGAGGCGTCCGCGAGTCGCCATTACCCGAGGTCGAGGACATCGGCGTCGAGTGGGGTGGCTGGTTAGGCACGTCCGGGCCTAGGCTAGTCAACAGTTCAGTTGGAGACCTGCTCGCCATCGGCAGCGTCATGCTGGGCGGGTGCGAGTAGGAATTCATGGTGAGTAGAGGGAGCTCAACTGGTCGCAGGAACTCGGGGGGGCCGGGCGGGAGTGGATGGAGAACGAGCGAGTCTGGCGAATTTGATTATTATCGGTATTGAATTTTTTTAAAAGAAAATCGGGCCTGGAATCCTCAAAAGGCAAGAAGTGATAACAATCGCGGAGAGAGCATCGAAAGGTCGATGGCGACAATGCCAATTGGATGTGAGTGGTCACTGCTACCACAGCCCGCCTAGGATACACGACAATGGCGGTTCTCGCTTCTGTTTTTTTTTTTTTTCTTTCTTTACCAGTGGCCTCGAAAAGGTGTATCGGGTGGGTAGACGTATGTGCCAGGATTCTTCCTTGGGATACCGGGATCAGAGATGATACCTCAAAGGCCAAGTCAAAGCTTCACGCCGGCCGCTCACCAGGCCTCGTCCTACATATGTATACTATGTATATGCGTAAATGGGCGAGTGGGCGAGTGGGTGTGGGTGGCAGTGTGTGCTGATGGGTGTATATCGAACGCGGACGTGTAGGGAGGGCGCGGCTGTGGTGGTGGAGGAAAGGAAACGAGAGATGAAAGTGACGATGAGACCACGGCCACGGACGTGTCTGGTCGCGAGCAGCACCCGTCGGTGTAGGTTAATAGTAGGCGTGAATGATTCCTCGTATTATCAGGCGCGGTGGACGGCAGTAGATGGGGGGCTTGGGACGATCCGCAGATGCAGAGTCGAAGGAGAGCGCACTGGCAGCAGCTGTGAACTACCTGAGGTAAATGCTCTAGGAGCAGTGAGGCGGGAGTTACGCGGGCGAGCTCAGGTGAAGATGGGATATTCTGGTAACAGTAGCTTACCACCTACTGACGGCGGAGAGGGAATTTGAGGCGGTCGTGGTAATGTGAGGCAACAAGACCCGCATATGTAGCATTGTACCTGAGGTATTCCGCCCCCTTAACTGACAGGTATTTCGCAGTACACAGCCAGCACAATAGGTACATTATTACGTCCGAGGGGGTGCCCGGGCAGGTACCTTATAGTCAAGATCAAGCTACGTTAGGTACACAGATACCTACTTAGCTAGGTAGTATCGTGATAGACGAACGGCTGATGCATACGCCCATCCATTAGGTAGGTACATAATATATATATAGGAGGTAGGTAGGTATGTATTATATCTATATACCTGCATACCTACATGTTCTCATTTCTTTTCGTTTTCTTTTTCTCTTCCCTTCTCGCCAGCCAATCGATGGGCAGAACGGGCTCCTGTTGTTCGATCGAGCCAGGTGAGGGGTCGAGCTTTCGCGATGGCGATTCAGGATTGCGAATACACCATATAGGTGCTTTAGAGGTAGGAGGAAGTCCATCCCGGCGCCGACCAGCCGGACGCACCCCATCTGCCCAATGTATCGACACGCATCCGCGCGCAGGTGTCCAAGTCCCGCAACACAAAAAAAGCCTCGGCTCTGTTTGATCCAGCGTTATAGCGCGCTTCTCTGCTGACTCCTCTGATTCACGGCCTCTACGTCTTTCCGTGAGGGATGACGACGCTCGATTGGCCACCGATCAAGGGAATCCCCACGAAGATCCACAGGCACGAGTAGGGCTGTTCCCAGCAGATGGGCCGGCTTTTTCTTCTTCCTCTCTTCTTTCGTCCGCATACATGCGTCCACCTGTGGGAAGGTCATTACGTCCGTAGCACAATTGCAGGCCGTGCCAATCTAGCCCCGACGTGGTTGTCCACAGTCCGCTGCGACGGAAGCAGGCTGAGGGACACGTCGAGGTGACTGGCTACACACCCGCACACCCTCACAATGTGTGTGTGTGTGTAGGGATGTATCTGAGCGTACGCGTATGGGTGTAGGGAGTGCCTACTATCTCGGCGTGGGGCAATGGGGGCGCCATTCCCAGCCGTAGCCATGTGATGGTCGAGAAGAACTGCGCAGACAGACCCAGAACCGGCTGGGCAGGCCGGTAGAGGGACGGCGGACCTCGTTAGCAGGCCTGCTCTGCTTCCTCGGCAACACGACGTCGATTTCCGCGCCCGAGGGCATCGCACAGTGTGTGTCGCGCGAGCTTGGATAGAAACATTTGCCAAATGCTCCGAAGAATGCTCACGTCGGCAACTGGTAACATGGGCGAGGAGGGCGTAGATGGCGTGAACGGATTGTTACCTGTCATATTTCAATCTTGAGATTGCATGCTTCCACTTGTGTATTGTTATAATAGGGGCTGGCTTATGAGGTAGGTAGCTCCTCCTACTTTAGGTCTAGGAAGGTACTTCTTACGGTACCTACAGATAGGTACTACGCAGCACACCTACAGGTACACGATCGCGTTGGCCAGAGGTACCTAATGTCGCCATACCTATAGTATAGGCGGAGCTACGACAACTGGCGGCGGGCTCGACAGCCGTCTTCGTCACAGCGACCAACCGTCATATCCCGATTAGGTAGGCGGCTCGTCTGCCCTCGAGACCTCTGGACGCCGACATTGGAATTCATTTCCGCGTACACTTCCATAGGTTAGGTGCATATAGGTACCTTAGATCTCTCATGCCTTTCATAGGCTGAGGTAGGTACCTACCTGTGGGTAAGCAGGTAGGAGATCAGTAGGTTAGGTACTTAATGATCGATTCCTAACAGCGCTACTTGGTAGTCTTCGTTATTTAGCTCATCTGTAGGTACCTTGTCTCAGGTACCTCTCTTATAATCTCCCCGCTCCCCCGCCCTCCACCTTCGGGCGGCACTACGGGTAGTAGCGTACAGCACATGGATGTTTTAACGTATAGGCCTTTCGTAGGAGGAGGTCAAGCACATTATAGATAGACTTAATAATAGAGACTACTAAGTAGCGCTGTTAGGAATCGAACCTATCCTTTATTATTAAACCTACGGAGCTCGACCTATATAATAGGTACGCGCCCCTACGCGTTATTATAATACTACCTACTCTAGTAAACGTCGGAATATAAGATCTTATAAGGATAAGATACGCTTTATTACTATCGTATAGCCTATATTAATATTTACGTATTACCTAAAAGGACCTTATTATAAAGGCAGTACTCTGGCTCGAACTAATAGCTTCTGGAGTTTAAAGTACGTAGTACCTACTGCCTAAACGAAGTTACCAGATAGACTTAATAATAGAAACTACTAAGTAGCGCTATTAGGAATCGAACCTATCCTTTATTATTAAACCTACGGAGCTATTACGTACCTAAATACCTACCCGGGAGGTAGAGGCAGGTACCTACCTCTACCTCCCGACCTACCTAGGTACCTATATAATACATCGAGTTGGGTAGCAGAACCTGACACGGGTAACGCTCAATCAGGCACTATCCGTAGGTACCCTCACGGTACTGCAGGGTACCCTAGGGACCTACCTACCTCTACCTAGATAGGCACCTCCTGACGGGCATGTACTTTCTCAAGTGCCTCCTCCTATGGTGGCATGTAGGATCCATGTAGGGTACCTATGTAAGCCGTCTCGTCCCGTCTCGTCCTATCCCGCCGTCTGTAGTCACTCCCACATCCGTAGATACGCCCCCTACGGTTTCCTTTCCGCCTCTCGCCCATATCTTCACGCTGCTACACCCCCGCCCGACCAGTCCATCCCCCCCCCCTCGCTTGTCGACAAGTCCGAGGACAGTAACATGCGCGCTTCTCCGACCGCAAGCCACGAGCCTTGTAGATAGGCACCTGCCTATGCTATGGTTACCATTATTACCATCGCGCCAGTCTTTTCCTCCATCTTCACATGCCTCTACAGGTATAGCATAGATGATCATTTAACCGCGCAGCTTCGCCGCCTACTGACGAGTCGTTTATTCTTCAGTCACAGCTACGTCCTGGAGAATCATACTTGACTTATCGCTCTCTGCAAGTCTCCGTGGTATTCTCTAGTAGACTGTCAGCTAAACCTACGATAAGCCGGACGATATAACGACTTCTTTCCGAGCACGCAATTGGATTATAGATATTCTGTTACGTGAAAAGCATTGACATCCGCGTTTCCCCTTCTGGATACGTAGTGTAGGTAGGTAATAGGTTTTGCTTCGTGACATATCCTCGGTATAAATGGTACCCTCCAATTTACAGGCATCACAGTTAACCTTTGAACCGCCTGTTATTCGCATAGCAGTTTTCGAAAACAAAAGAAAGCAATACCAAATATCAGGACAACAACATAAACTAGATCAGCCTTAGAGGTTACCCTGGTAATAGTTTAGAATAAGACTATTGATAGTTTATTTAAAGGAAATATGGCTTAGTGTAGGCGCGTAAGCACGTAATCGGTTACGTATAGCTATAGGATAAGCCCTGCCCTAGCGAGGGCTAATCGGGATATAAAAGGCACGTAAAACGGCTCTAAAAGGCTACGTAAATAACTATGATTTAATTAATTATTTACCCGTTCCTTAAATAGCTATATAGTAATACTTTATACGTTTCGTAAGCTTATTATTATATTATTTTATTATTATCTAACTACTTACGCTACGGAGGTAATTAAGTAACGAAAGCTCCGATAAACGAGCGGCCCGGGGTAACCGTATAATTACGATTAACGGTAAAGAGAGGTTATCGATAAGTTAAACGATTAAATCGCGAGGATAGCTACGAGGATAACTACGAGATTATAAGATAAGGCGGCCGAAGAAGGAACCGAATAAGAGATTACGTAGGATATCGCGTTAAAGGACCTCCGTAAGGAGATACGTGGAAAACTATAGGAAGGCTTACGTAAAACGACCGAGTATATTAACTAACGTATAAATACCGTAAAGTATCTCCTTAAGGAAATAATAATTAAACTAGAAATAATAAGCAAATAACGGTAAGGAAGTTATCGCTAATCCTAATAAAACGTCGCCGATTTAATAAAAGAAGGCGACTTTACCGACGCTAACGAAAATAAGGATAAACCTTATATTAAAGACCTAGAGATTATAAGGAAACTAAATAAGTTAGCTATAAAGACTTAACGAATCTACGGTAAGAACTACCGTAAAAGCCGCGAAGATAGCCGCTATTATCGTACCTCGCGCTTAACCCGGCGTAAGAACTACCGCCGCCGGGGCCGTAACTTAAGTAGCCTATTAGGAAGCTCTTCTAATAGTAACTCCGATTACGGTAAACGACGTAGCCGGAAGGTACGAAGTAAGAGTAAAGGTACCGCGTTTAAAAAAGACGGTAAGATTAATTAAAAGAAGTTCGTCTTTAACCTAGATAAAGACGCCTATCTTGAGGGAATCTCGAACTAAAGCTTATATCGGGATATACTTATATTTTTTATAAAGAAGGTAAGGTATAAAAAAGAAGTAGAACTCGATAAATAAAACGAGATATTCCTAGCGAAAGTAATCGCCGGAACCTACCGGGGCTAACCTTTATAATTAATAACGGGCGTACGTTTAGGTACGAGGATATTAAAGATATTCGATTAAACCTATGCCTCTATAAGAAAGGCTCGTTAATAAAAGCTATAAGAGTAATTTATTAAGATAAAATACGACGGTAAGGACCCGGTAGAGTTTACGTTTAAGTAGTAATTAGCCGTTCGCTAGTATATAAATACCGGCCTCGTAATTAATAAAAAGTAATAAATTACGATATTCCTTAGCTATATATAAGATAAGGTAGCTACCTAGGTTAAGATCGTAAATACTATAATTAAAACGAGACCTATGGATCTATTAAACGTACTTAATAGCTTCCGCGGAAAGTTCCGTAATAAGATTAATAATGTAGTGGTGCGGTAAGACATGCCCTCTTGATGCATTACGTGACACGCTACGATAGGCCTTATGCCTATATAGAATAACTATAGCTCCCGTAAGTACGGGAGATGCCATGCTTATTATTAAGTTTATTACCTAATTAGATTACTATCTTTGCTATTTTTACTTTAATTAAAGATTCGTTTTTATTATTAGATTCGTCGTTCTTCGATTAGTATATCTATTTTAATTATAGGCGCTTAAGTTACTTCGTCGTACCGCTATAACCGAATAAGTAACTTTTACGTTTTACCCCTTTTCTTTTCTTACCTCTTATACCTTCGGGCTAGCGATTATTATATCTCTACGACTAAGGGGCATAGCTAAGATACGATAACTACATTAAATTCCTTACCTCTCGATTAATATAGCGATATTAATTTTATCTATCTTAAACTATCGTACGTATTATAGTCTTCGATAAAGTATACTTTCGAGTAAACTTATCCGGGTTTTTAATATCGCGTACGCTTTACTCCTCCTTAGTAGCGATTACCTTATAACTTTTTCGACCCTTTAACCTTTAATTTACGGAGTTTTTATTACGCTACTAGGATTTAGAGGATACCGATCGCCGTCGGCGCCGCTATTTAACCCGCGAAGTAACCCGCGTTTTACGTTAAATAAAGTATCCCGTTTTATAGTTATTTATCTATTATAAAGAGGTACGTATAAGCCCGGGAACTTTTATAACGATACTATAGTTACTAAGATAACGCTTAGCCCTTAATACTTATAACGTTAATAAGCTATCGATACTACGATATAATACGACGATTAAATCGCGTTTATACCGATTAAGATATCTCTCGTATCGTTATTTACCTACCTATACGAAGGAACCCGTAAAACCCGGGAGAACTTTCGTCGTAATACTACCGCTACTAAGGATAGTACTTAGCCCTCGATACTAACCGCTTCCTCGAACCGCTAATAATATAGTATATCTCGTACGAATAAATAAAGCTTATAGCGATTAAGGCAGCCCCCTTATAATTATCTATTTACTATATAAATTAAACGTACGAACGCCTTAGTATAAATTACAATAATTCATACGACCCGCTACTTCCTTACTAATACTAAAGGCGGATAAAGGCTAATAATAATTATACCCCTAACCGACCTTACGATAGCTTCTTTTTCCTTTAAACCTATTAATCGATATAGATTAAATATATAGATACTAATAATTTATTATACTAGAGGCATTTTAGGATACCTAAGCGTAGCGATTCGACGATATAATATACGATATAATATAGATATTTATATTAATAATATAGATAAAAATTAATAAACTAATAGCTATTAATAACCGATAGTTTTAAAAAGAATTAAGAATTAATATTAATAGGACTACGTAGATATAAAGGATTAAGGAAAC